TTTTTATATTCTTTTGGCATCTTTTCTATTATAAAGATATGTCTTTAGTATATCATTTATATTCTTAAGATTCTATATAATCCTTTGATCTAAACATATCCATTAAGATCTTACTAAATCCTTTAAGATCTTAGTATATTCTAACATATATAAACATATCTTAGTATATCTTTAAATTTCTAAGAATATCGTCTATGATCTCTTAAACTTAAGACCCTTTGATCATAAGTAACTTACCTAAAGCAATATCCTCTATTAATACTTATTAATTTTAACACTCTCACTTTGCTATTGGTCAAAGGTTTTCAATCCTAATGCATTTTTCAATATGTAATGTCTATTTTTTATTGATGTTTTTGTCAATAAATCAACAAGCATGTCTTTTATTACATAATATTTCATATCAATCACTCATATTTCAATCTTCTCTCTTACAAAATGATGTTGAATGTCAATGTGCTTGGTCCTTGAATGATACTTTAGATTCTATGCAAATACAAGATATCCTTAATTGTCATGATCATTTTAATGATTGCCCGATAAATTGGTCCAGCTCTTGAAATGTGTTGGCTCATAACACTCATTGCATATGCTAGATCCACTCTTGTGCCAACCATTGCATACATAAGTGAATCTATTACTACCTTATATGGAACATCTTGAATTTAACATTTAATTTCAGCAAACTCTTCATTCGTGAGCTTCATCAACTTCAAATTTGCTTCTAAAGATGTTCTACTAGGCTTACACTTCTCTACATTGAACCATTTCAATACTTCTTCAATATACTTGCTTTGGATCATTGTAATCATTTTTTTAATATGATCTCTTATAAATTCTACTTCTAAATAATTATAGAGTTTTTTCAAATCAATCATCTCATTTTTTTTTTAATTTTACCTTCAATTAATTCATCATCTTTAAAGTATTGATTAAAATTAAAAAAAATCATTAATATAGAAGATAATAATCAATATAAACTCATTTGATTGCATCACATATAAAGAATGATCAGCCTCACTTCTTATAAATCCCTCATTTACAAAAATGTGTCAATACATTGGTACCATGTCTTTGATAATTGCTTGAATTCATACAAGGATTTCTTCAACTTAGAAATATGTTTGTCTTTTTTAAAAAATCCTTGAGATTAATCCATGTAGATGTCTTCTTTCAAATTTCTATTCAAAAATGATGTCTTTACATCTATTTCATGTATTTCAAATTCCATTGATGCCTCAATTGCCACAATAATTCTAATGGTGTTGAATTTGGCCATGGGAGTATATGTCTTATTGAAATCAATATCAATAACTTGTAAGTATCTTTTGGCAAGCAACCTAACCTTATATCTCACAACATTGCCTATTGCATCATTTTTGGTTCTAAATAACAACTTATAACCAATTGAAGATCAATTTTCTAGAAGTTGAGTTAGTTTCCATATTCTATTGTCTATGAATAATTTGTATTTTTTTTCTATAGCATTTTTCTACTTTATAGTATTTATGAACTTTATTGCATCTCACAAACTCAATAGATTAGTAAAAAGTATAACATTGGCATGTTTTTCACTTACCTGAAGAAAGATGTGGTTTTTCTACTATTCATGAAATTATTTTCTATCTCTTAAAGGATATTTTGTTTTATTTGATAAAGATTCACCTTCTTGTATTCCAAGGTTCCTTGCATCTTTCTTCTTTCTTAAAACCCATCTTTTCATATTCAAAGATTGGTATTCTTTAGCATTAGATTTAATATCATGATTTTTTTATTGTTAGTTCTAATAATTATAGACACATTTTGATCTATCTTCTTTGGATCTTCATCTTCATTTGTATTTCCACTATATTATTATCTTCTTTTTATTTCTTTGTTGGAATTAAAGATGTCTCTATAAACATACCATTACTCTCACTTGAATACATCTCTAAGTGTTTATAAGTATTCTTATGCTCCAAGAACTCTACATCACAACTCTTGATAATCTTCGTGGTTTCTAAATACATTAACTTATATACCTTGGTACCTTCACAATATCCAAAAAATACACATTTTGTCTCTTTTACATCAAGTTTGAACCTTGTACAATCAAGTACATTTGCATAAGTAATGTATTCAAAATTCTTCATTTATGAAACAAAGAATTTCTTCCCACTCCAAACTTCTTGTGGAGTCATTGATGTGAGTACACTTGTATGGCACCTATTTTTTGTATATATTGATATAATCACAGCTTTCTCCTAATATTTATACCTAAGATTTTGTACATGGAGCATATTCCTTGCTATTTCTACAATGGTACAATTTTTTCTTTCAAAAACTTTATTTTCTTATAGAATGTAGAAACTAGAGATTTGTCTTGCAATACCTTGAATTTTCAAAAATTCATCAAATAGCTTTGATATATATTCACTTCCATTGTCCATATACAACACTTTGATTTTGAATTCATATTGCTTCTCTACAAATGCTTTAAATTTTTTAAACCTTGAAAAATATTCTTTCTTGGTTTTAAGGATATAAATCCATATTTTATAAAAAAAATCATCAATAAATGTGACAAAGTACTTTGTTCTTTTAATTGATAGTATCTTCATTGATCTACAAACATTAAAATACACAATCTCTAATAATTTACTAGCACGTATTACAACTCCACTTGGAAATGAAGTCTTTTATTATTTGCTTCAGATACAACCTTTAGAAACAAGTGGCATGGTATTGTAGCTAAATTGACCAAGATCCAAGCCACTTACCATAAATTGGAGTTCCTTCATGATTTTGGCATTTAAATGATCTAGTCATTGATGTTAAATTTCAAACATGTCTTGATCTTATAGAAACTGAACAAATATTGCTACTTCAACTTTATTTACCTTCTTACAATTGATGAAATAGAAGTTGTCATCTTTAAGGCCTTTGGTAATATATTGTCTATATAATATCTTCACAAAACACCTATTCATATCAAATTAAATCTTATAACCATAAGATATAAGTTTACTCACCAAAACAAGGTTCTTCATTATTGGCACATATAAAACTTTCTTCAATCTGATCTTCTTGATTTGATCCTTTACTTTAATCTCAACCACAATAGAGCTAATTCAAATGGCTTGCATCATACCATTGTCTCTCAATCAAACTTTTGTTATTAGAATTACTTCATAAGTGTCAAATGAATACTTGTCATGTATTTAGTAGCACCCAAATTTATAATCTACTTGGACGTAAAAACCATGGAGATTCCTTCATTTGCCATGAAAGTATAATCTTCTCTACCAAAACTATCACAAGTATTGTTTGCATTCTCCTTAATTTCTTTTTTGGACTTATAGCAATTCCTTACAAAGTAACTTGATTTTTTATAAATATAGTAATTTTTTATATTACTTTTTGAATTAATATATTAATAAAAATAGCTATTTTTGTCTTATCTTAAAAATAAAATTGAATCTTCTTTTTTTGAAGTTCATTTTTTTCATCTTAGTCACTTTGTGCGCAAGTCTTGACTTGATATAATTCATAGTAAGTTCTTTTATGTTGATAGACTCCAATGCTTTAATGAAGTAGTTGTAAGATTCTAGAAGATTCATTAGCAATGCCAATACAATTTTTCTATCGTCAATTGGAATATCAATAATTATTAATTAGTTTATAAATGCTTTTATTTTGTTGACATGAGCCATAAGATCATCTCCTTTTCTATCTTTATCATTAAGAACTTCTTTGTTTATAGAATGTTGGCAAAGTTTCTACTCTAATTGATATTGCAAAGAGTCTTTTGTACTTCTGTTAGTCCACTATAAGCAATAACATGTGAAAAGTTGGCATCACCAAGATTTATTGCAATTATTTCAAAAGCCTTCTGTTCACAATATTTATATTCTTTCTTAACCTTGACATCACGATTGTCACTTGGAGACTCTTCACTTTCATCAACAATGTTCCAAAGGTCCAATGAAGCTTATATAAATTCCATTTTCTTCTTCCAGTGGTAAAAATTGTCACCTCTAAATTTCTCAATCATTCTCAAGCTCTCACCTTTACTTGAAGCCATATCTAAGGAAGAGATATATCAAAGAAAATCAAAAAAAGAGAAGATAGAGCTCTTAAAATCAACAAAAAGATATTTCCATCTTCAAAATCCAAAATGCCCTTTTTGTGAGTAAACTAGTGACTTCAGTCTTTAACCACCCTCAACTTCACTTATAACCATAAGTTCTATTCCTCACAACAAAAAAGACTTCAAAGCACTTCAAAACTCACAACTAAATGTATGTGGATCCATAATCTATTGAATAAAAACTTTAAAATCACAATACATAGCAACAACAAGGTTGCACATAAAGAGAATATGGAATAAAATATCTCACACTTCTAACACCCAATACTTATAAGTAACTTTCATATTTCTTTATCTTACCTATTATAAGGATATGCCTTTAATATATCTTTTATTTTCTTAAGATCATATGTAATTCTTTGGTCTTAACATATCTATTAAGATCCTAACATATCCATTAAGATCCTAGCATATCCATTAAAATCTTATTATATCCTTTGGAATCTTAGCATATTTTAGCATATCTAAACATATCTTACTATATCTTAGAATATCCTAAAATATCATATATGATCTCTTAATCTTAAGACCTTTTGACCATAAACAACTTACTTTAAGTAATATCCTCTACATTTATTTACTTACTTTAACAATAATATATTTTATATATCAAGGTCATATGAAAGTAGTTTCATATATGTCAAAGTAAGATTGATCACATTTTATATTCACAATTAAAATGACAAACAATAAAACATACAAGACATGTTCCTTAACACAGACATTGTCAACCATGATATGTAGGTTTTTATTTCAACACTTAGAACTTCTGGCGAGACTAAGTTCTGTTGTTATCCATTTAAATGAGGTTTAAGTCAAAAGAACACAGATCTTAAACAGAAATTTACAACTTCAACGATCCACTTCCATGTAATCAAAATGCCAATATCAATCTTTATCAACATGTTCCTGAAAGCATACTTTGTTTCTACCAACAGCCCTGCAAGAAATTCCACCAAGAATGATGTGACTAAATTTACAAATTAATAAGCACCCTTGAAAAGGTTTCTCCCTCTTTTTAGAGGGCATATCTCAAATCTAAACAATTACAATAGACAGGTCAATAAATGGGGTTAACAGAAAACCATCGTCTGCAGCAGTTCACATCCTAATGTAAGTCAAGAACTCCGCAAGCACACTATTTCGGTATAAAAATGCCGATGGTAACGAAGCGTCTGTTGTAACTTCGGCAAAATGCTGGTCAGAAAGACGTCTTCCTACTCGTGTAATGATGATCTCTGACAGCTCAAGTCATATACCCATTAAGGATGCTTCAAATAACAAAACGCATGTTCGTCCACCACCGTTAGCAGAGTAGACGGAAGCAATTAATGATTAGTCTTAACAGAGATCCTGTTGACAGAGAATCCTCAAGGAAGCCAAAATGGGATGACTTAGTCTGCGGCATGAAAGGGTGCTGTTGCATCATTTTGAAGAGTGCGGCTGGTATTGAGACGAAGGGCTTTGGAGCAGATCATCAAACTCCTTTCAGATGTGCAGGGCCTTGGCGAGGCTATACAAAGACTCATGCACAACCTATTCTTTTCCTTGTTCCAACCCTGACCAAGTGAAGAGGGGTAGAACATTTTGAGGTCCTCTCAGGAGCAGGCAAACACACACGCATATGCATGCGATTCCCATTATGCTCACCAAGAAAGGCCTGTATAGACCACCCTTAACGCCGCATACATCCCGAGGTAATCTTGCAAAATCCACCTCTCTACAAGTGGGTGACTCATCGGGCCTGGAAACTGCAGGGTCTGCTCCTGTTGATGGTATCCAATGTGGCAACTCCACTATTTGTACAATTGAGTCAGCACTGCGATGGTCCCAACCAGGTGCAATATCTGAAATAACACTGTTTGGATTCTCCAATAGAGCAAGCTTTGCTCTTACAACTTGAAGGGATTTCACATTACCTCCTGCTTTTGCAAGGCTAAGAGGAGTTGCCCCGGAAGCATCCTCTTTGTGGAACCAAGCATGCAAGCCAGCCTACAAGACATGCGTATATGATCCACATATCATCAGATATTTGCAGTGAAAATATTAAAAAAAGACTATTACTATAAATTCGTACGTTGTATACTTAAATTCGTTTTTACACCCAATTACAAAACCATAAGAAGAGGAAAATAATAAATACCAATAATAACAATAATTAGGCAACTTAAAACATATCAGATGCTAGCTAGACTCCTCCCAAAACACTGAAAATTACTGACCTGACAAGGGTCGCTGGTTAAAGCATCAACAATATCTTCTGCGTCATGCATGCTGGCTGCAACGTGAAGTGGGGTAAGACCCGCAGGTCCTCCCATGTCTGGCTTAAATATTAAGCTCCATTTCAGCCTAAACTCAAGCTTTTGTTTGAAGCTTTCAACATTTGGATCATTTATTCCAGCGAGGAATGAGGGAGCAAAACCAAGCAGCAGTTCTACCATTGGCCGATTTTTATTCCGAACTGCCCGATGAAGCAAACTAACTTCTTCTTGTGGCATGTCAGAAAGCTCCAGAAATGTAGCTTCCCAATCATCGTTCTCGAAAGCAGTGTCTAACACCTTCTCAACCACTGCGCACCAATTGCGTTCAACAGAATAGACCAACAGCTGCTTGAGCCTCGTGGAAAACATCTGTTCAATTAAGAGAAACGAGTTAACAAACGCAGAGCACAACATAAGAGCATGAGTGTATAGCTAGCATACAGGCATACAATATTACACAAAGCATAACACAATAGAATTCAAAAACTGCAACATCAAATCATAAAAATTACGAAAGGAACATCTAAAGCCAGAACATAACCCGCAGAGGACCTTAGAGAGAAGCCATGATGAGTACCTGAGTAGAGGGTGAAGAAAAGTTGAGGTATCGGAAATAACTTCTTTGGAAGAACCACCCCAGCTCACTTAGGAACCGAGTAACATCCTCTTCTTCTGCCAGCCTAGCCAATTCAGTACAATATAGAACAACAAATGGATCAAACCCATGTTGTTCGGCAAGCCTTCCAGCAATCAAGGCAGCCGTCTCAATCTCATCTTCAAGGGTAGAAATCTCAGCAGCTACTAGCTTATCTGCAACGATTACTGGCTTCCAATTCCCTTCCAACGTGTCTTGGTCCACCTACATGGCATCAAATATTTTACCCAAACAATAACTCAACCGTTCGAGTTCTACTATTACAAGAAAAATATGAACATTCTCACAAAAAAACTGAATAATAATCGTGAACAACTCTTTCAAAAAGTTCATACCTCAATAAAACACCGCCCGAAACTACCAGCTTCCATCGTGGATGGAAATGTGCTGATATCAAGATTAAAAACAGCCTGCGAACTTGACAAATTTGTGCCAACATCAGTATGTAAATTGTGTCCAAGGTCAATGTCACTGACAAAACCATCTCGGCCACCAGTCGAATCCTCCTGTTCAGATAAATCTGTGCCAACTCCCGACAGTCTCTCAACTTCAGAAAGAGCACTTAAGGATGAAGGCCTATAAGAGACATGTTCTTCATCAGCTGAGGAAGATTCAACGTTCACCAAGTCCAAGGCCTCATTCTCTTCATTTCTGGAAGCGCCGCAGCCTCCTACTGAGCTATTCGATGTGACTTCTGTTTCTGTTTCTGTTTCATCCACAGAAGCCACCGACTCTTCATATGTATGATGCTGTTGATAAATTTCCTCTGAGAAGTATTTTCCCCTGAAAGCGCATAATAACCTTGTAGCAGCTCTTGTGAGATTAAATCCTTTAACAGTCAAACGATTCTGTTGACCAGTTACAACAGCAAGTGGTCGAACCGACAACAAGCAAGGACTCTCGAAGGGACTGGATGTTCTACACGAGATAATTTCACCTGCACAAACGAAGGGAAAACTTAAGCGAAATAAATTTAAACAAAAACAAAAAACAAAAACAAAAAAACCAAAAAGAAGAAGAAGAAGAAGAAGAAGAAGAAGAAGAAGAAGGAAAGAAAGAAAGAAAGAAAGAAAGAAAGAAAGAAAGAAAGAAGAGATTCAATCTTAAGGAACTGTTCACGAAGTATATCCTTTTCAAAAAAATAAAATAAAATAAAATAAAACAAAACAAAACAAAACAAAACAAAACACAACACAACACAACACAACACAACACAACACAACAATATGTAGAACCGCTGATGAATTAGATGAACTCTCACCGTCAACAACTAAAACTGATTGGCGATCAACTTGCACTAGCATGCGCCCAGTACACCAAAACTCACAACCAGTCCTTAGAAGTCGCCGTAAACTCTCGGGCAGGTCATCAATCAACTGTAACCAGAAGAAAACAATGAATTAATAATCCGGTTACATAATGCACACCGTCGCGCGCCTGATATCCATCCCTTCAAACTGGAAGATTAACGTAAAAATGAAGATAGAGAAATGAAACTTAAATCTAAATTTTAGAAAAGATCGCAAAAGTAACTGGTGAAAGGGGGGGGGAGGGGAAAGTGAGATGTGGGTTACTGGGATCAACTTTCATCCTTTACGGATAGTACTAAAAATGAAAAGAAATGTCTACCTCTGTCCATGCAGACTTGGGCATGGATAAATAGATGGTTAGAATGATGCAGCCAGGCCTGATAAATCCCTCCATGTCTGAAGGTCGGTGTGCTAACCATTCATCGATCTGAAAGGAAACAACTTAATGTCACTACAGGGTATGGTTCCCACAAATCATTAAAAACGTCATTAACATGTCTATACCTATACAGATCTACTTTAGAAACATAAAGTTAAAATTTGAGCATCTGAAAGGACCCACCTATACGATAGAATTTCAGATGATTCAATTAAAAGCAAAGAACATAACGAAGAAATCAAGCTAATCGTACGAAAGAACATATAATACCTGGCTTCGAAGACCCTCAGGGAACTGTGTAGGGTGTTTATCGAAGAGCTTGAAAGAAATGCGACTATTCTGGTAACGATCACAGAAAATTAAGGTTAGCATCAACTTCAAAAAAATATACCAGCAGCTATCAAGGTCGGTTAAAGATGCTACAAGAGTAAAATCAACAAATTATCACCGATCACCTCCAGTATCTGCAGCATTCAATCACATATTCATGAGTAAGCCTACCTCCAAATCTCTGTTCGGTGTGCCAGGCGATTGATGATCAGAGCCCACACCAGAGCCAGATCCTGAACCTGACCCGGAACCCGTTTCAGAAGCATCACTGTACTGCTCTGAAGGAGGAGGCTGTTGCAAATCTATTGAAGGCCGCTGCAAAGGAGCCTGAGACTGCTGCAAGTCCAAGAATGACCGCTTATGTGGATGCGAGACGCCATTTTGCGTTGACTGCCGCTGTCTGCCTACTTGTGAATGAACAGATGGAGCGTTTTCTTGATTCCTGTCAAATCTCAGATTTAAGTTCCTCGTATCAATTGAAGTTTGCTCAGGATGAGCTTGCATTGCTGATTGTGCCATTCCATACCCGTTTGCTGCCAAACCCGGGCTAGCTGTTTGGGCAGCCAAACTTGAGTGCAAAGAGAGGGCTATACTTGTTAACAACTGGGCAGGATCTAAAGCCCCAGGCACAATCCCAGGTACCCTCAAAGAGGATGGCAATGACAACCCAGGTGCTGAAGGGGTGCGTTCATTGTTGATTTGTGGAACTGCATGACTGACAGATGCATCTGCACTAGATACTGGATACGGCAAGGGACCACCGTTCATATTGCCATTAAACCCTGCACGACCATAGATATTCTCCTGAGCCATCCTCGCAGCATGCTTCAAATTGTTCTGCAACAGCATTGCAAGAGCATCTTGCGGGGCCAGTTGCTGAGGAGCATGTCCAGTGAGCTGGGATGCGAGAAGTCTGGGATCGATTTGAGGTGGAGCAAGATCAGAATTTCGAGTTAACTGGTTCCAAGAAGATGCAGCTCTAGTAAGTCCTTCAAGTGTACTGTTGGGCAAGTTCAAGTTCCCTGCTTGCCTCAAACACTGCAGAAGAATGTCTTGATCATTTGCAGCAGCAGCAGCACTAGGTTGCTCTAAAGGTCCTGTCAAAGCAACATCCCAGTACGATTGTTAACTACAACATGTGCCATATGCAAAGGATTCCTTATCCTACAGATGCAGGGACACTCTGACACTAAACCAAAGTACGTACAAGTAAATGCCAAAAGCAAACATGCGCAGAAGCAATTGAGCAACAAAAGAATTTGTTGCAAGACCTCTTAGTTGAGAATACATCCCCAAAAGGGCCAAGAGGTCGGAATTCTTAACACCCGCTTGATCCTCAACTCGAGGTGTCGGTGCATCAGGTTGGGTTTTCCTCCGTCTCTTGTTGTGACCTGCTAAACGCCTTCTACAGCTTCGTTTGTCTTCGTCAAACTTGTCCAACGGATGGAATCTGCTACACTGCTGACAGAAACGCTGCCTCACTCGAGAAACAAGAGTTGTAGGTGCTTTGGAATGCGCCTCGCAGACCTTGTGGCGTCTATGATAATCCTTGGCCCTACTAAGATCAGCAGTACAACCATCTACTTGACAAGTGGGAATTTGAGACTGGGGTGAAGAAGAACGAGGACGTTTTCCAGCCCCATTGTGCTCATATGCATACGAACTTCCTCCAAGCTTTAGACTGAGAGGACCGTCATCCTCGGGGGATTCATCACCTCTATTGTAAGGATTCGGTTCGTTTGAAGGTGGAGACGGAGTATGTCGTCCAAAGAAAGTTTGACCCTGCACTTCAGTCTCGTCATCATCTATATGGATCACTTGATGATTAGGTTCAGCAGTGCCTGTAGCCCTTACATCCAACTGTAAGCCTAAATCAGCACTTCCTCTTTGTCGCCCATTCTCACGATGCGTGACATCTCTAGATGAGTCCAAACCTGACCCATGAGGAGTTCTACTAATTCGCTGCGCACTAAGTGCGGCACCATCCCAACGCCATGAGTTAGCGTTCCAGTCACTCCTATTTATTGATCTCCCACCACCTTCTTGAGGGTGGCTGTTGTCCCAGTGAGTTCCAGTTTGCCTGGAAGACCAAGATGACTCAGTACTACGGTCAACGGCAGACATGTCTCTGCCATTTGGAGGCAACTGTTGTATCCCTCCTGCAACATACATCGATGTGTACTCCATGAGTAAAAGGACATTCAACATGTAATATATTACACATCCTAAAATGGAAGTTCGTGGTATCACATCCCGTGGCACTTATCTTACGCAGAGCCATAAGAGCATACTAAAAATCTTACAAATGGGTCGTTAACCTGCAAATCGGCAGGATAGAATTTCAAGTTCAGTGAACCTTCACAAACGAAGATATCTACGCGCATTACGTATGGGGCTAAGTGTGGTGAACTGTGTTAGGTGAAATTCTCGTGGAAATGTATAGGATCAAAATTTCGAACAAGATGATAGAGGCTACATACCTCCAGGGAAGAATTGGTGTTGCTTGACGGGAAGACCCTCCACAGTTATCTGCCCTAAATCCCGATCCATCGAAGACTTCAGCAGAAAAGAGAACCTAGTGATCTGAAGCTGCAACCTGGGGAGACCAACTTCAGAGACCCCAGCAGGGAAAAATCCCTTACCGCTGGTGCCAATAAAATAAAAATAAAAATACGCATGCCCTCCTTGCCTGTTACTTCATGCTCTAAGTTTGTTCTAACAACTATCTAATAGGAAAGGCATTTTCTACCCAAGCTAATAAAGCCTTGGTAAAAATGTCAAAAACCGGCATATACACCCTCATTTCTCCACCCACCCACCATTTTCTTCAAGACCCAACGTCCAGGCTGTAGGTTACCAGCGCCACTTTGAGCATGGAGAATCACTTGCCGTCAGTCTCTCACCGAGTCGCCCCCTGTGCTGAGGGTACGAGGATGCTCAATTCAAGGCCCCCTATCCAACATCCGCCCGCCGAGCCCTCCCAACCAGAAGATCATGTCCAACTACATCTTGCATGCCCGCTTCACATACCCTACACGCTCTCCACAGCTGCACAGCATTCGAGCTTCCGAAATGTCCTCTGGTACGAACACAACCGTATACTTCCCACGACACGTAACCAGGAATTCTTACTGCAGCTCTCGCCCTGCCCTGTTCTCCTACACGTCACAAACAAGCTCGTCGCGTCCTAGATTCACAGCACCTCCCGCACATCTCCCCTTCTGCGACGGCGACTACAGCCCAGCTCCCCCCGTTCTCCAAATCCTTCGTCCTTCACCACCCACATAAAACCGTACCCACAGCGGCGCTTCCCGCAACCCAGGCAAATCCACCTTCAGCTCTTGTACCTCCGCTCCCTCGCCACTCACGTCCCGCCTCCCCATGCCAAATTTTTCTTCGCAGCCACAAAGCGCCACTACGGAAAACGAACACCTGCCCTACTTTAGCATGGTACATAACCCCACCTCACGAACTAAAACCTCCCCCCTACCTCCATCTCACAGATATACATCTGTCCCTGAACTCCAAGAGATTAAAAAAAAAAAAAAAAAGGACTCCCCAACACACGAAAGGGCCTAAACATCTGCACACAAGCGCTCGCCCAGACACGAGGAGATGCTGTCGAAACTTACAAAAGACTAATCAACCCTTGGCCACGAACCAAAACAAAGCGCGGGGCCCCTACCGAACAAGAATCGTCCTGGATTAGGACAACAGTAATCGCTGAGCCCCTCTCTCACAACGAACGAGGCCACAATCTCACACAGTCGTCATCATCGTCGTCGCCTTCATCATCATCACCACCATCATCAGTACCATCATCCTCGTCGTCGTCTGTTCATCAAGCTGCCTTGGTACGCTCTGCTGCCTTCACCATACTTCCACATGTTCTCCCCTCCTCCTCTGCCTCTCTTTCGCTCACTCCTTCACCTCTTTCTCCCCTTCTTTCTAACGTATTTCCTACGAGGTTCTAATTTCTCACACGCCCCAAGCTTTACTGCGGGATCGCGGGGCTTGTTCGGTGAAGATCGCAGTACGATCAATCGCCACTGGGAAGATCGGCGAGGGAGGGACGGGATGCGAGCAGCAGACGGAGACGAAGAGGACGAAGACGAGGAGGACGGCCATAGGGCGTCGAATTGTAAGGGCACCCATGACTGCGGGGCAGTCGGATTCGGGCGGGGTGATGGGAGGGTTTAGGCGGGGTAGGTAGATCTAGAACCAATCCCGCGCACCAACAAATCATAAAGGGGCTGCCGCGAGTACACACTCCCTTCCTTCCTCGAACCTTTCTTCCCCTTTTCCCTTTCCCTTCGCCGCTTATTTTTAAACTGTTTGCTTAACCCGGGATCCGACTGCGCGGGTGAGAGGCTTTGCCCGGGTAACCTCCCTCACCCGTGCCAGATCCCATGTTCAGTTAGTTAGTTATATCCCCCCCATGTTGCTTACTCGTGCTTGGTTGTACTATCCATGCTTGTCATGCTTGAGATTACAAACATTACAATATTGTAATTAATAATGAAGTCACTCTACTTAGATCTAATTTGTTGTTTCCTTACATGGTAGATTGTGACTAAAATTCATGTTTTTCCTTAGCAGAGTGGAGAACTCCACGTATATAAGGATTGATGAGAACTATGTGAGGTTTAAGGTATTAGTAAGTAAAATATTTCAATGAGTTCAGTGTTTTCTTTTCTTTATTTTTTATTTCAATTTTTTTCTACTGTGTTTATTTGAACCATTTCTCATCAATTGTGCCGATTCATAAAATTGGTGGGAAATTAAAGCTTGTGGTTTTTTTTTTAAGCTGGAATCTTATTTTTTATTCCACTTGGTTTTAATTTTACCTTTCAACAATGAATCAATTAAATAAAGAAAAATGATTTATAACAGTAAAAAAAATCGCCTCAATTGATGCATCCTTGAAAATATATATATATATATATATATATATATATATATATAATCATAAATAAAGAAGGACGTGACCGATTGCATCTCTGTGTATGTTTGACTCAAATAATGCATGAGTTTTCTTTCTTTCATTTTTCAGAAAAAATGTGTTGCATATATTCATTTCAGTAAAATAAATAAATAAATATATATATATATATATATATATATGTGTGTAGTTTTATACAAATACATTGTGTTTTGTTGTTTTAGTATGAGAACAAGAGTTTTAATGTGTAAAATAATCCACACATGAGATAAGTTTGAAGTAAACAGGTTCAGATTTCAATGCACAAACCCAGTGCATGCCTTGCATGTTTTTGTTTTTGTTTTTTTTTTCAAAATATGTAACATAAAACTATGCATCATTAGTAATAAATAAATAAATAAAATAAAAATACACAGAAGTACTTATGGGTGCCAAATTTAATCTCTAAATAAGTTTAGATTATTCATAGTGGTGAACAGAATTAAAACTCATTGTACATTTTTATATGCAGTGAAAAGAAATATGAAGCCAATCACACCTTCATTGTACTCTTCTACTTGAGTTGGCTATGCACTCTTTATAAAAACCTTTGAATTTTATCAATCCAACGAATTTTTGGACACTTATACTATTCAATTTAGTGTGTATCTGTGTTTTTTTGAATGTTTTGAAATGGTGTGAATTGGTTTCTAATAACTGTACATTAATTAAAGAGCACAGTCAACAACCAAGATACCTTTGTATGTTGAAATATATGATGAGCTCTTCGTTTCAAGATTTGACACAAGTACAGTACTTGTTTTCGGAAATATAAACGACATTGTTTATTTGAACAACAGATAGACTCTATGAACAATACGTAGATTAATTATTTACTTCAAATTGTTTTTTAAAGCCTCAAGATACAGCATGAGTGCTAGGATGTTGCTTTCATTACCAATTAAACAAGTTATATACAATTTGAACTGTGAGAACAGCTGAAATAAGAATAATAACAACAAGAGCCCAAAAGTGTATATATGACTTCCTCCATTAATCTGTGTACTCTAGTAGAAGGATAGATAATGAAATGTATTTCAGATGGGAAGCTGCAAAGTTGTGTGCAACTATAGGAATATTTTCCAAGAATCATGATCCTACTTTGAAAGGTGAAGGCCGAGGAAGTACAATAGAGATTGGCTGCAGTACCTCATGGCACAATTAGGGCTCGCATTGTGGAACAGAATCCGATTCCCTAGATAACCGAGAAGGAGACATTTCTAATGATAGAAAAATATAAAGTGAAATAAAATAAAACGATCAAATACATATATCAACAGCCGCAGCAACAAATGTGCCCTCCTCCTCCGTCGTCGACTTCTCCACGATCGCCATTTTGCCGCTCTATCGAAATGATCGCGACTCGGAGAGAGCACTAGCGGAGCAGTTCTTCAGCACACATTTCACCTTAATCCGCCACGCTTCGGCCACCAGGCTTCCTCCCTTCGTCTTCGCCACCTTCCACTACGGATATGACCTCGTCGTGGAAAGCAATCGACAACACCTGGCAGTTCCTTCTCCGGCTGCGAGGATGGAATCGGTTCTGAACGAGGGCTCCGAAAGTCAAAAGTTGGAGGAAAAACACACACACACACACATACACACTAAATCAAGGAGACGGTCTCCATGGAATCGCGATTTGGGGGGGGGGGTAGCTCCAACTAACCGGTTCACCAGGACACGGTTTCACACTTGCTGCGCCATTCGTTCAATGGTTTTGTGATTTGTCACGTTTGACACACGCATGCTTGTTTATACATAAGTCCTTATTCGTATTCGTATGCGGAATTGTCAGTGTAATCGCTTGAGGATAAAATACGTTGTGAGCATGAATGACTGGTGGTGAGGCATTCTGATGGTTACATTTTTATTGCTTTGATATGCATTCGCATTGTTCTGCTGTCATGACGTTTCCTGGATCATTTATACCCATACCATGTCTTAAAAAGAATGAAATCAATAATTCTCTCTCCATATATATGTATGTATATATAAACATATTTGCATTTTCTCCCCAAATTTATGACATGTATTTTTATTTTTAGAAAATCGATTGTTGAAAATTGTAACAAAAATTATTAACTTAGATTATGTGGTAAACTGAAATCATACACTGTGTTGATTTGTTACAAACTAGTTTACAAAATTATGAAATTATCATGTTGCAAACTAGGATAAATACTCTGATTTATCAATTTCGAGATGGACCACAAGTTTGTTTGTTATTTTAAGTTGTGCACAATGAAGCACGTCACATAGGTTTGCTTTTTTATTTTATTTTATTTAACGTGGTAAATATTGACGTTTTGTAATGTATTTGTGAAGGTCAGCCTCTAGAAAACTTCTTTCACACATTGAGGTGGAAAATCATTCACTGCTATTGATTTTCTACAAAGAAAAACGTGTAATAGCTTTGCTTGAAGGTGATCCTTGGTTTGTGCATGATCTTGATTTGCATAAGAGATAAACATATTATACCAGCTTATTATGAATTGAGTCATTTTTGGAACAATGCTCACACATGTACACAACTATTGATTTTTACACAACCACATAACTTTATTACATACTACCTGGAGATAAAAGTAGTCTATCAAATATGAATGATTAAAATTTAATGTGGCTTTTAACTTGTGCAAAAACATCAAAATTATCTTATTATGGTTGTTACAAATCAAAATCTACACATTCTAAAATATTATAGTATGCAACATTATACATTGTGCAATAACCATCAGAAGTTTTTATTAAGGAAAACAAAATTTCATAAGTACACACACAAAATTTCTATAGTTATGTTCTCACTGTTTTATGGTAAAAACAATAATGATTTATGCCAAGAATTGACACTGGATTGCTAAGGACGTTCAAAAATAAAGTAATGTTCAATATATGACCATGATGAGTTAATATTATACATATTTATGCCATAATAAACTACTCTGCATGTAATCTTTTTCCTCAGAGAAAAATGTTCAGTGCATTAATAATCATATATATATGTATATATATATATATATATACATATTCATCTGCTCACACACATATGCCTGTATGTAGTATCCTTTTGACTAACTAATTAATTCGCTTGTTTTTGTTATGTGAATTATATTCAAACGCGTTCACACTGGCTAAAGTGAGTTTGAAAATAACCCATCTATGTACAAAATATCATTAGTATTTTAAAATGTTGAAATATATTAAAAATATATAAAAACACAAATTTAAAATTTATAACAATCTTTTGGATTGTGTTATTAGAAGTTTTTACTTGTTTGCTTTTTCTAATTTAACAATTTTTCATTGTGGTTTTACAAATTTCAAAAAGACATCGAAATGTTACTTGCAGAAGCTGTAAATTTGTGTTCTTGGTAATCAGACCCAAATGAAAAATTCAATTGTGCACTATTATATTTGATCTGTAACATACTCCACAGCTCAAAATGATTAATTATATGTATATATACATATATAGCATTTCCGAATAATGTGCATTTTACATAATTGTAGAATAAAAAAAACAAAGTTTTGATAGATAATGTGTATTACTTTATAATCAGTTTATATACTTTTTAATCTCAAGCATACGTAGTATCAAAACATTTCAAATATTTTCTTGATAAAAAAAAATTAATATACTATAAATATAAATTGATAAATTAGTTTGGGTTAATCCATTGTGAGCTAAATTTATTTCATGCACATGATTAGATCCACAAGAGAATTTTGTTGTGATATCATATATTTACTTTATTATTTTAATCAAATGAAACTACTAATAAAAGAATCAAAACATAGCTGTTACAATTAGTTTTATTAATTCCTATTTGAAAGATGGGAGTGTTACAGCCGCTTACAATTCTCGAATATATAAAATAGGTTATCAAAAACTAGAATATTAGGTCTTCTGAACAGCAGCGGCGACCAGCACCGGCGGAAGCCCGGAGGAGGACGCTGGCTGCTGGTCGTGCTAACGGCCGCAGTGGTCAGGAGGGGCCGGCGGCAGCGGCGGCGGTGGGGGCCCGCAAGCGTGCGTCGGTGGAAAGTGGTCCAAGTTGGTATTCCTGCCGCGCATCACAGGCAGCGTCTCTTGTAGCTTCTCCCGGAGTGTGTACACAACGATCTCGAACAAGATGTAGAGCGCCCCCTCGTAGGCGCTGCCCATGGGTAGAATCTTGTTATCCGTTACTTCAAATCGAGCCGGCTCTGGTGGGTACAATGTAATACCGGACATGGTTGATCTTCGAGCATTCGAGTCTCTCTGGGAACTCCTTTGGGCTGCAGCTTCCGATGCCATAATCACATTGTCTTGATTCGTAGATAATTTCAATTTCCTCGTAGGTGTTGCAGATTCCGTTGCCACAATCACTTCATTCTGTTTTGCAGTAGATTTCTTCTTTCCTTTCGGCGCTGCAGCCATGGGGTCTCCGGCTGGTACCATGTGTGCTCTCTGATTGCCGTGAACTTGCTGCCTCGGCATTCTACCTTCCACCATCATGCTGAGTTCTGGGGGCACGTCTTCTTCTCCCGTGGGGAATTCGGGGAAGTCGGGGTCGGCAATGGTATGCGCGGGAACGAGAGCGATCGTTGTTGCGAGCACCGCAGCTGCGCCGTCAGGTTTGGCCGTGATGACCAGCGCCCTTGCGCCTGAAGCCGTTGCTTCGCCGATGATTGGGTCTGCGCTACTGGGCCATCCTGGTCCATTTGTCACAATGAGTAGGTCCCCTGTTTTTAGCAGCGGCGTGGCCATGTCGCCGAACACATGCACCTTCGTTAAGCCGAGATGGAATAGCCGCATCGCGAAGCCTCGTATGATGAGGCCTTCTCTGCCTACTCCGTGAAGAACAATGTTTTTGTCTCGCGCTTGCATGATTTCTTTGACTATCGGCACGCATGGGTCCTGTTTGTTACGCTCGGCGCGGTTGAAGACGCGGTGAATCTCGGCTAATGCTTGAATGGCCATGAAAGATAATGACGTTTGTACCATAACCGGGGACGCCATGGCTGCGGACTTATCAACTCGATTGTTGAAACTCGAGTATGAATCACTTTTAGCTTCACCTATACTGTCATATTCCGAAATACGGTAACCATTTTAATCTTCATATTTTACTAAAGCATGGTAGACACAAGTGATGCTAAATTCAGTCGCTAAATTTAGGTTTATCCCTGAAGCCCATTTTGCAATCTATGTGACGGTCGTTTCTGGTCGTTGAGCGAAATCTTGTGTCGTGCCGGCAGAGACTCTCCGGCTGCAATGAAACTGATGCAAGTCAACCAAATGTGATCTTTCCTATTGGTGTTAATCCGACCTTGAGCCGAGTCTCCCTAGTTCATGCTATTCAGTCCCATATCTTGTCCATTATGATTCTTTGAAGCGTGAACTATCCAAACGTGAAATGATCACGTTTTATGATTCATTTACTCATCTGTTTTCAGTATATGCAAGTGCATGGAATCCACGACATGCAGCTAAACGTTGTGACGTCCAGATAATTGAGAGTGATGATTGGGAAGCAACCGCCCTTCAACTAATTCCGCTCTTGTTCCAACAAAATCAATCATGGTCAGGATCTTCGTAAGTAGTGAGTAGGGGCTGAGCATTGGGAGACAGATTCAAGCATATCTACCCTTGCGTTCATGGACAGTCCAACTGTTCAACCAACACCTACGCCGGGTTATTGTAAACCAATTTCTGCACCTGATCAGAAAATTACAGCAGTCCTGGCTTGCAAATAACCAGGCACTCATTTGTAAGCAGTCATTGTGTTAAGCGTCGCCGGCTTATTGCTGTTAGTTCCCGTATCCAGGCCCTACGAATGCCGCTCGAATACCGATCCAGGGTTCCACGCTGCGAGCTGAAATCTGGTCTTAGCTGCTGACAGTCCCCAACTCCGCAACAGCAACAGAGCAACGCTACGACACAACGCAGGAGGTTAATTCACAAGGAATTGAATGAGCCACAGCGTCCTGTGGAAGTTGCTTCATCCATTGCGTGCTAGGCCAATGCAGACTTGTCGGTGCGTCACACTGCGTCGCATCGCGTCACGTCACGTCACGGCGCGTCGCGTCGCGATGATAAGTAATGATAATACTGGAATATCTTGTTTCTTACTTGTAGTTCTTAATGATAAATTATTGCTCTCCTCATTTTAAAACAGGAATTCAAAAAACTGAATGTGGCATTTGATGGTGAACAATCATTATAAGTTTTATATACTTTTTTTTTAACAAAAATAAATTAAGCTCATGATTCGTATAAGTTTTCATTCGAATTCAGATTACTGAATTCAAATTACTTATTAAATTTCAACTAAAATGATGCAATATAATTGCCTTAATAACTGTTTTTTTACACCATAGTGAGTTTTGAGTCTTGTTTTGAATCGATGATCCTTAGAAGCTACTTTTTGTTTGCAGAGAACAACTATTGTATTAATATACTCTATTATTAAATAACATATAACATGAGAAAACTTATAAACACAATTTCTGTCAGCTTTATGAAGTTATAATTTCTTTATTTTGTATGCATACGATTTCTTGCAACAAATGATTCGTTTAAAAAAATAAAACTCATACATATAAAAACCTAATTTACAACTTCATCTTCCAAAAGTTATATGGTTCAATGTATGAACAATCAACTTCGGGTGTCTTAAATCAATAGAAAAACGAAAATAAAAGAAAAAGATTATATTCTTAATATTTTAAAAATTTACAATATAAAATTTTGATCCTCATTATTTTCTCTCAAGAATGTCTTGGAAGAATTATTTTTCTGTCTTGAGCAGGTTTCACTGTTTATTATTATTTGTTGATAATATCATTTCCCCTTAATTCTTTTTTTATAATCAGAACCCAAGAATTTACAAACCAGAATGTCTCCGAATTAGAGTTTTACGTTCTTACGAATGAGACTATGATTAATAACTGTTAGTTCATTCTAAAAAGCTTCTTAAAAATAGGCTCTTCCAGTCGCTCACTCAGGCGTCTTCTAATTACCACGCCAACCCACTGTCTTAGCTTCTTAATTAGATGAATGTCTCAAAATATCCGTGAAGATAAGCATCCATCAAAAGATGAAATACATCCACTTATTGTTCCACGGAGAAGACACTGCTAGCGAAACCCTAATTCCTGAACCATTCGAAGCTCAAGGATTTCCAGGGGATCAAGGATTTTCTTCTCATGCTTCCTGTCAGGATTGTAGGCATGGCGCTAGAATTTGCATCGTAGCGAGGCCGGTGATTTTCGCCGCAGTGTGGATATTTTCCTGGTCCGTTTGGATTTTTCCCGACGGGGTTTGAGAAACTATGGCATATGGAGGGTACGACTGGAATCGGAGGTTGGGTGACTACATCTCTTCTGTTGCCGATGCCTTGAATTCGCAGAACGGCGGCCAGCTCTCTACGTTGATCTCTGTTTCGCGGGGTTCGTATTGCAACGTCGTCGCGGCAGGGCTTGATCAGAATAAGGTAAATTATTTATGCGTTTTTATTTTTATTTTTATTTTTATTTTTTTTGACGAGAGGACAGTTTTCTCTTCGCTAGGGCGTAAACACCTGTTTAGACGCGAATTTTGGTAGCCTGCAGTTCCCTTAGGAGAGAAATGGTGGGCGCATTATGCATCAGACGAAGGTGACTGGTAATGCTGCAGGTCTCGATGAATTGAGCCCTGAAATACGCGGATTTATGTGGTGTTCAGTAGGTGGTTTTTTGCGGGATGAAGTGTCAGATTTTGATGATCAGAACATTAGGGATCATTTGTTGGGGTTTTGGGTTTGAGCTCTCATTGGTGCAGTTGGATACTCTATTCTGAGTGTGTGTTTCGTCAAAGCTGGCGATTTTGTTTCAGCATTTTTGAGGAAATGAACGAGGATATGATGTTAGTGATTGTCTGTAGAACATGTGTCGTTTCCTGTATTTTCTAACAGGTTTCAGACACTGATTTCAGTGCTGTTTTCACAGTTTGCGTTGCTGGAATGAAGCTGAGAGTGTTCATGGTGTATTATTTCTAGTTGTAGTAGTTAGACCTCTTGGTTAGCTTCCTAGACCATGGTTCATAGTCAGATTTTCCATTGCAGCTTGTATTATATACTCGATCACCATCTATATCATGCTAGTTTCTGGATGGCGAAATTCTGGACTAGTTTACAGATTCTTTCGTAAGTCCTTCTAAGGTTTGAAGCTAAAAAGTAGCACCAGGGGCCGGTCAAAAAGAAATGACAACAATCGGTGACAACCACTTATGCGTGACGTTTTCTTCTCGTGGGTGTACGTAGGGTCAAGATGTTAACAGGTTATCGAGACAGCTGGAGAAGGTGGCTCCACTAGGAGAAATGCTGGGGCAACACATGCGGTGCATGCAATACTTTGTCAACCGACGTTTTGTTGATTCTTACAACGCTTTGGAGAAATCTGCTAAGTAAGTATACAATATGCAAAATGAGAAGTTCTTACTCGTCATTTTTTATTCGTTTGTTTACTTGCTTGTTCATGAATAATTAAACATAAAAAACATAATATATATATATATATATATATATATATTGTTTTTCAATTAAGCAATTTTGATGAGTTTCTTGTTAAGTTTTCTTTCCTTTAATGTTGGCCGACTACAGTGCATTTCTTCAGGAATTTCGTAATTGGGAGTCAGCTTGGGCCATGAAAGCTTTACACACTGTTGCCTACGAGTTGCGGACTATTGCTGAGATGGTGGGGGCCATTTGTCTTACAAGAAGTTCTTTAACTCAGTGCTGCAGTATTGATTCAATTTGTTTCTGTGCATTCTTTGTTGACGCAGCGAGTAGCTCGATCGCCAATTTATTTTTTGTGCTTCCTCGAAATACATCTGTATTCTGATAAAGGTGCTGTGAGTGACAATCGCTATTTAGTGCTTTTCAGGCCGACAAAGAGATGGCGTCTAATGGGAAGATACCGGACAAGCTGAAAGGAGCTGGCTCATTCTTGATGAAAGTCTTTGGGGCTCTTGCGGTATATTTTGAAATTTCGGGATTAGATCGTACTGGGTCTCGTGATTGTCAGTCTTAACTGCTTCTTATTTGATTCTAGTTTATCCGCTGTTTGTGTTTTTTGTTTGATGTCATTTACATGTCTAAGCGGCATAGTTGAACTATCATCGCTTTAGTGCTTTAATACGAAGTTGTCACTTATAGGGTTTCTCATGTCTCATTTCAGGGCAAAGGACCCAAAAGGGTGGGTGCTTTATATGTGACTTGCCAACTGTTTAAAATATACTTCAAGGTACCATTAGCACCCATAAGTATACACGTTTGTGAGTTTTTGAATGGTTTATCTACCTGATTCAGATTATTGTTGTTATTATTGTTAAATATGAATCTCAATAAAATAAATTTCTGTAGCACCAAGATACTACTCTTATGACGTATGCTGAGACAAAGATCTATTCATTCCACTTTCAAGCCTCTCTCAACATGATGTTCAACATGGTTGTTTTCTTTTGTCGATGCAGTTGGGCACAGTACACTTGTGCAGAAGCGTCATTCGAAGCATTGAGACTGCACGTGTTTTTGACTTCGAGGAGTTTCCTATTCGGGATCGGGTGAGGCTGCCATACCTTAAGCTAATCGAACTGTCTATAAGATAATAGAGAAGTGGAAGAAGCTTTTCAAGGGTATCATCTATAACATTGTTGAAGTCGCTCCCTATCACAATTGGTTTATAAAATATGTTCTCTTGAATTTTGAAAGTGTTTATCTCTTTCAGTCTTTAAGGACGATTTGTGTTGTCACTCCTAATAAATTTATTTTATCTGTTCTTTGACAGGTAACTTACATGTACTACACTGGGCGCTTGGAAGTTTTTAATGATCAATTTGTGCTCGTAAGCTCCCATCTATCTGCCCCGTTATTCTGTATGGCTATCTGCAGTTCGTAGGCTTTGCCAATACTTACTGATTGCTAGATGAGTGGGCTCAGAGTTAATAACTCTGTTGTCAATTCTAGCAACCGGGAGTCACGTCTTGGTCAAAAGTTAAGTTCTGACAATCAAATTCTTATCCGAAATGCAGGCTGACCAAAAACTCATGTATGCTTTGGTGCACTGTGACCCTTTGAAGAAGAACAATATTAGGTGAGGTGGATGTCCATGTTTACCAATCTGTTGGATGGTTGTTTCAATGCATCGTGGTGGTGCAGTCATATTGTCTTCGTAGTTTCTAAAGCTTTCGTTGTTTGAGAGGAAGCAGCGAGCAGTTTTACAGTGACAACATGCATAGTCTCTGTAGAAGTGAATATTACAGAAGCGTAGGTTCGTATTCAAGGCTTCTTTTTAAATTCTCTTCGCTTTATTTGTCCTTTTTATTGCAGGATGGTATTAAAGTACTTGATTCCTGTGAAGCTTTCACTTGGAGTGATGCCATCCAAGTTGTTGCTGGAGCGGTATGGCTTGCTAGAGGTATCCTAGAAACAAAATTACAACCGCGTCCTTGGAGTGGAGGATACTTTGTTGGCTTAATTTGTTCCTCATGATTTTCTTGCATTTAATTCTGATACTAGTACTCATATTTACCTCTATTATCAGTACAAGGAGGTTATTCAAGCTCTTCGGACTGGAGATATAAGGTTGTTGCGGCAAGCTCTTCAAACAAACGAAGATCAGTATGTTTTATCTGGCCTTAAAACATTAAACTAAAAACATTTTACTTGAGCGCAAGTCATCGTACGTTTCTATTGTATCTTTCTAGTTATTGGAACTTGGCCGTTCGATGCAAAATGCTGGCAGTGTTGAATCTTTCTATGCCACCTAATATCCAGAGATGTTTCATGTCAAAGTCTGACAGCACAAGTGCGTAACTAATATTAGCAAGTGTGCTTTAAAGATTTCTGCGTTCAGGAGTATATCTTGTGCTGGAGAAACTTGAACTTCAATGCTACCGGAGGCTGATGAGGAAGATGTACGTTGTTTTCAGTCGCCTTAAATTTTTCGTCTGTCCAGCCCTTTATGCCTACAAGAATCTCTTCTTGCTACTCGATTGTGAATTCTTTTGATGTGTTTAGGCCTGGAAACCCTTGTTCTCGCAGACACATAATTCAAAAGCAGAAAGATCCAGGAAGAGCACACCAAGTGAAAATGGATTGTGTCTTGAAGGCTCTTAAGTGGCTCAACATTGAGATGGATATTGACGAGGTATGCTTGATAACTTGCATACGACAATTCAAACTTTAGGCAACGCACTTAATTTTTGTGATCGGTTTGTTGATAATTCGTTCGCCCTGTTGAGCTTGGACTTTTGTCTAGGCATACCATTCACACAAGACTTAAGCTGACCAAACTGCTTCTTGTCCCAGGTTGAGTGCATAATGGCGATTCTCATTTATCGGAATTACATTAAGGGATATTTTTCACACAAGAGTAAAGTGGTTGTCCTTAGCAAGCAGGATCCTTTTCCAGCACTGACTGCAATGACCTAGGATGGTTTGACCTATTTCTCTATCGAAAGGAATCTCCAAATCAAGATGAAATTCTCATCTTCTCAAAACTAGTCCTTGGAGTGAAACAAGATTTTTTACAACTTCAAGTGGAGGCTCTTCAATTTTTTTTTAGTTAGATTATTTGTTTTTGTTTTATTAGCTTTTAGTTTTCTCTTTTTTGTACAGTAAAGGTGCACTGACGGATCAATTAAGCTTAGGTTCAAACCCCTGAAGTAGGGTCCTGAGTTCAGTGAAGCAAGCTCGGAGCCCTGAACAGGGTTAGTAGCACTTCGAACCAGCTTCAGCCTTATCTGTTATGTCCTGATTTCTCCAGATTACTACTCATCTGTATTGGATTAGTGCTGCTACTCATCTGTGGTTTAATTTGGAGAAGGCACAGTATCATAAGGTTGAATACTGGTTGGTTATGTTTGTTGCTTTAGTGCAGCGCTGCCGCTTATGTTTTTGTAAACTGTGTCGTACAACAGTACATCATGTGTATCTATGTCAATTTTATACTTCTTACATGACTTAAATTACCATCATTGGCATGTGAGGTGCTTCGGTTGCTTCATATTTAGGCCGTATTCCACCATTGGAAATATGGCTTCCTTGCTCACTAAGGTTGCCCATTTTTGAAATTTGATGTAATCTTCAAGTGGCTTATTTTTCAACAGATCTGATCAATTTCGAAGCGTGGAAATTAGATTAAGGTATGTGATCGGTAGTTGTATCAACAGGAATTGCACTCAGTCTGCATGTGGTTGACTTGGAACAGATTCTACTTGCGTTCCTTCAGATGTGCCAAAGTTTGTTTTGAGAATGTCTTTACAAGACATTGTGGCAGAGTCTAATTTTCAATGACCGAGCAGGATCTCTGCTCTCTTGGCAGTGGTTTTTTGTGTTGAAAGCTTTGGCTTCTTGGCAGTGTCGTTAAAGACCAGTGGATGATAACATAATTTATGCAACTTGAGCTGGTAAAAAGAATTTCCAGAATGTCAATCCATCAAATGTGCTTGAATAACCACTGTGATGCCTAATCAAAACCTCCAGTATAATCAGGTAATTTTGGAGGGGAGCAACTTGACAGCAGTAAAGCATCAATTGAAAAATACATCATCACGTTAACCGTCGGGCAATATTTTGCTTCCTAGAATACACATATGATTGCAAGGTGATTTTGAGATAGGAGTCCATTTTTGCAAATTGCAAGTTGCAACGGTGGTGGAAAACTTCGACTCACAAGATGAAATTGGTAAACTGGTTCAGTGAATATTAAAATGCGTGAAATCATCCTACATAATGTTTTTCGAAGGTAACCAGACCCAAGTGCCAGGATCCTTTCGGTGGTCGTGCAGACCATCACAAATCGCAACTTAACCGTCCGCCAGCTTAACTGTCCAGTCCTTGAGGGTGGACGTGGGGTCTATGGTGTTATCATGGGAATGACATGTTTACATCGCGACTGATGAACTAAGAATCCTTCCATAGTGTTCTGGAGTCTAACTGTCGAAGTGTTTTATTTATTTATTTATTTATTTATTTGTGATTGTCATGAAGATCTCCGCTTGCAGCCTCTTGCATGAAGAGAATGATTTGATGAAGATTGCGTGAGTCGGGTTGAGTTCAGCTGGGGTGTAGGCAGAGTGATTGAAGCACGCTTTATTTGATATTGTTCGGGGGATGGCGTTGGTCGATTATCAGTGATGGTGTAGGAAGTGAAGAACACAACAATGGGAACCCCTGTGGAGACACAGAACCGGTACGAGCAACTCAAAGAATCGGTGCGCGTTCTTCGTTGCCAAGTCCGCAGCTCATCAGGTGGACCCTCACGAATGTCTTCTAGAGTTACTAACGTTACGACCAGGACCCCTTCTCCTGCGGTAACAGCAACAGATCCCGAATTTTTCGCAAGCACTCTTCGTCCTTCAACCAACTCTGGTGTGTCGGTTGTTGAATTAATCGATCAGGATCATCCACACGAGGGGTTTTCCATACAACACCTGCGGATTCAATTTCAGATAGAGCTGCGGGTACCACATCCATCGCCATGGTACTACAGCATTGCTCTTGCCGTTGTTAAGGGGGGAGAAACTAGTATGAATGCGGTGTCATTCTCATTTGCAGAAAAAGGAGGAGGAGATTAAGAAGCTAATCGCAAATCAACGAGGAAAGTCGCTGCAGATAGAGAATCTCGAGAATGAACACCGGGTCCAAAGACGGAAGCTAGAGAGTCGCATTGAGCGTCAGTCAGAGAAGATATGTGCCCTCGAGGCCCAGTTGTCCAACAGGATTACCCTTAATCAACAGGTTAATATTCCAAGGGTTTTATTCCTCTCACCACATTATGTCTCTGCATGAACGCCTCACTAGTGCTCGTCGAACTGGAGAAGCTCTTACATTACGGGATTGGCATGTGATTCATGAGATTTGGGACGTTTTTATGCGGTGCTGATTGCCGAAAACAGGGCGCTAGGGTTTGGCGTAAATGTTGGGAAATGTTCTTTGTCACCATGACATTCAAACTCAGTGGGCATCACTATGAGAAACTGGTGTTCTATTTGAGATGTTATCTTCCTCTGTTCCTCTTAGAAATCTGCTTATTTCCGGTGAAAGTTGGAGTGCCGGTTTCTCCATCTATCAAGGATGAGAAGTTCGCACTCTCCTATTAGAATGTTTTCGGTGCACTTTGACACCTACTAAGTTTAGAGTGGAATGAGGATAAATTGGAATCGTCTGCCGGGGTTGGGGTTCAGGAGCTGCAGGCACAAGCATATGCATTCTCTGCCAAGCTTCGACAATGTGAGGACGAGAAAGGCCAGCAAATGGTTGCTGTCAAAATGGAGCATGCAGCTATTTTGGCGTCCACAGAAGAACGTTACCGCGAAGAGCTCAGTCAAGTAAGCACAGACTCTATTCTTGAAGGTTTCAGAGGTTTCTATCTTGAAAATAGTTGGTAGCTATGAGGTTTAGACAGATTGCATTGTTGGCTTGGATTGATTGGCCAGGGTTTAAGACCAGGCCCAGAGGATATTTAATCTCAACCTCAAGAGAGCCAACGATGCCGAAGCCAAAATGGAGGAGTTGGAAGCGGAACTTGTGGGGTTGAGAAAGATCAAGACTAACGCCGAAGATTGGATTAAGAAAAAGGTGAAAGAACTCGACTCAATCCTGGCTAGATGAGTTCCACATTCAAAATCACATACATTCAAACGTTCTATGCCCTAATTATGTGACTGACCTTCGTGCCAAACATAACTGTGTTTGTCTCATAGTTCTCTCCCAGTGACATCAGAGACCCGAAATCTGTGTAATGAGCCCCTGATTGACATTAGCGTCATATAGTTGGGTGTAAATTGGACGCAATGATGTGGAGAATGGTATGTGACGAATACCTGCAGGATGAGGGATGTCACTCGAAGATGGAGGGAATGAAGGCTGTGTATGAGGATCAATTGCGAGACCTTAGTAAGAATTAACCAGCACATATCCCCTGAATGTGAATGCAGGAATTCATTTTTTCTTCTGAATTGAACTGTCATATCACTGGATAATGACGAGTGATTATTTTGAATACAGGATCCAGATTCGAGAATGAGAAAAATGAGCTGGAACGAGTGAAAATGGACCTGGCTAAACAATACTCCCTCGAGTTGCAAAATTACAAGATGCATAAGGTAACGATACATATAGGTGCATTGCAGTCGTCATTTTGTAGATTTTTGCCACCCTTGTCACCACCTCCTATTGTTCTTGTCAATAGAGCACACTAACTTCTCAAGCCTATAAGTTTAAGCGTACTATGGGTGATGATAATACTGAGCAGGCCAGGGAGATAGAACAAGTCTCTGAACGAGTGCGGACAGCAGTGAAGAGCAAGGACGCAAGTATAGCGCAGCTCAAAGAACAACTAGCAAAACAGCAGGAGCAGGCCTCATTTTTGCTTAATCTCTCGTAACTTAATTGGATTCAACGTAATCGGGTGTCAGAGTTGTAACTGAATCAACCGATGTACAAGAGAGAAAGTGGAATTGCATGATCTCCTAACCTATCCACCTTCGAATTTCTGGCTTGATGCTCTAATGAAACTGGACTGAGACAACCAACTGCTGAGTTACTAACCGAGAAAGTGCTTCAACTATAGTCATCCACAAGAAATCTACTCCGGCTGAAACCTTGAGATCCTGACTCAGAAACTTCAGGTGGGTCAGAACATCCTTGGACTCGACAATCTATCGTTGGAATATGAAACACTGACTGCATCACAACACATCTGTTATGTAAGCTTGTCTATAAACCCTAAACATTAAACAAAACCAATATATATATATATATTTTGCCTCTACATGTTTTCATTGCATCAGAAACAAAAGCTTCACAATTTTACCAATGTGAGTTTAAAAAGAAGAAATACCTAAGAAATAAATAAAGAACAAAACAAAAATACAGAAATAAGCAAAGCGCTCAGGTACTTCCGCTTGTCGACATGTACTGAAAATCTGATCCAGATGTAGCGGTGCCAAAGTTTCTGACTACTCCAACCATAAGACTAACTACAACACTTACAACCATACACCAAGCAAATCCCTTTGAACCCAATTGAACAAAGCTCATGGCTTGGAGCATAGTATTCAATAACTATTGTAGTATCACTGGGTCATGAGCCATCATCAAGCACATCCCTTCTCCTTGTAATGTGTGTTAAAGATTAATCGGTACAAGTTAAAGACGAAATAGACTTCGATTCAACATAAAAGTCCAATGTTGAAAACAAATACACTAGGATACTGATCCAAACCATCCTGAAGAAGTTAGCTGAGTGATGGAGGAAGGCGCATGCCACAACTTTTGTGCTCATTGATTTCTCAAGGAGCTATATGAATCTTTCTTCAAAACTTGCTAAAATAAATAATAAAAGTTTGGAGGATACAAGTTGACTAGTGAATTGGAAAACAACATATAATTAAAAAAAATATCTCATAGCAACCTCTTGATATCTATTGGTACTATTCATCTATCTAGATTTAGGATTTGTTGGTGGTGTTATCATTCATCTAATAGTTAGGATTTCATCTAAGTGTTATGATGTCATTATACTCAGATAGACAAACATATTCAATTTTTCTATTGTTGACATGCTATCAATAATATAGAATTATAAATCTTGCTTGTGAAAGACATAATTAATTTTATAAAGTTAGAGGAAGCACTTAATTACATGTTATGGAATTATAGAGTTCAGATGATATTGATGCAAGAAAATTTGTGAAGGTTGATTGAAACATTTTGCATCCATTCTTATCAACACTAAAGAGTCCATAAGTTCATCCACTAGTATAGTTGCACTTGCAAATTCCACCACAACAAGACAAGATGAGACCAACACAAATATATTAGTCTCTACTATTCAAGTTTATATTAGAGCTTGTTACATTATCACCTCTATAATATAAGAATCCATTATTCTTCATATTATTGATATTCTTAAATCTCAAGCTATTTGGAAACAACTATAAATATTGTAAGATGTACAAAATGCAAACAAAAAGCTTGCTTTGAGAAAAAATAGTTGTGTATACTTTGTTTACTAAAAAAAAAAGTTTAGGTAATTTTTACAAGAAATTAATTTGGTACTTAACTAGTTACTTCAAATAGGTATTTTCATGTGTAATAAAGATTAAAACAATATATATCTTACTACAAATGTAGCAAACTAGGCCATTTTGTCCAAGAATGTGATATCAAGAACTTAGAAGATCAATTGAACAATTAAATTTACAGCTATCAAGAATGAAGAAAAGAAATCTTACCAATGTGGTTAAAGATCACAATGAAGCATGCTATTTAATGGATTCTTTAATTAAAACTATTGGGAATGCATGTTTTAATGTATTTGACTCTAAAAACAAATGGTTCTTAGACTTTGGAAAAAATTCACATATAATTGAAAACAAATAATTACTATTAAGAATAGAAGAATCAAATATTTTTAATATTAGAATTGTTGGAAGGTAGATCCTTTTTGTACTTAGATATGGAAATATATCTCTTGAAAAATCATCCAAAAAAATAAAGAAAATTAATAATATTCTTTGTATTTTTGGTATTAAAATAAATTTACTGTCAATTAGAAAATTTACAAATTTAAGATATGTTATATTATTCAACTTTATATCTTATTATATATTTGATAAATATAACTCAAGAAGTATTTATATACAAGCCATTTGAACAAGAAACAAACTTTATTGCATCACAAATAAAGAAAATAATTTATTCTTGGCTATTTTATTATTGAAAAAAGATAATATTTCAAGCATAAAAAAAACAACAAATAAGATATATGGACCAAAAACACTTTATGTTTATAAAGATATTATTTGTTTATGACATAAGAAGATTGGTCATCTTAATTTTCAATCATTATATCAATTATCCAACTAAGGATTAGTTGGTAGAATACCACAACTATCCTTATAGAAAAAAGTTTGTAAAAGTTGTATATATGGGAAGTTACAAAAGAAACATGTTTCTAAGAAGAGAAGTTAGTTTACAATATGTCAATTGGAAATAGTTCATTTTGCTTTATGTGATCCTTTATCAATTCTCTCAAAGAAGAACAACAAATTTATCTTAATGTTTATTGATGATTACATACAAAAGATTTAGTTATGTTTTTTACAAGAAAAGTTGGAAATATATGAAAAATTTAAATAATTCAAAAAATCAATAGAAAATTTGAAAAAAATATAGAATATTTAAGAACAAATTGTAGGAATGAATGTCTATCTAATAAATTTTAAGGCTATTGCAAACAAGAAGGGACTTAGAAAGAATTTACTTTAGATTATTGTCTTCAACAAAATAGCCTAGCAAAAAGAAAAAAATAAGTCTATTTTAGAAGAGAAAAAAGAAATATTATTATTGAAAAAAAACTAAATATCTATAAAAAAAGCTACAAAAACCATGAATTATATATAGAATAAGTCCTTGACAAAAGCTTTAAGATGTTTAATTCTAAAAGAATCATTTATTGGACTCTAATCTAATCTATCTTACTTACAAATTTTTAATTGTGTGGCATATTGCCATATATCTGTAATTTATAGAAATAAGTTAGGTTCAAAGGATTTATGTATATTATTTATAGGCTACAATAAAAGCAAACAAACTTATTGCTGCCATGATTCTTTTAAACAAAAGATAATTATTTCTAAAAATATAAACTTTGAAAAAAAAATTCAACTTAAAACTTTTTTTATCCTTAATTTTGTTATTAAAAAGAAGCTTTAAGCTTTTATTAATCAAAATATATTCTCCAATAATACAATAGAAAAATTCCTGATTTACCTTCTACTAAATAGACTACAACAATATCAATAAAAAATGAATAAAAGAATGAGTCAATGGCAAGCATTTTAATACCAAGAGTAATAGATCAAAATAATGTTGATGAATACAGTCTTGATCTTTTTTTCAAAATTATCCATCTTGTTGGAATTCCATGAGATCCAAAAAAATAAACATCAAATTAGATGATTATCACGTTTATGTCTCAAATAAAGATTATGACTTGTATCAATTAAATTTGAAAAGTTTCAATGATCATTCTATAAAAAATAAAGAAATTAGCTCATATGGTAAAAATATCAACTTCACACAAGCTTATAATGATCTACATTGAAAAAAAATAATGGAAGAAGAAATGGACTCTATCATTAGTAATGACAATTAGATATTGAAAAAATTACTTAAAAGAAAGCGTCACATATCATCAAAGTGGATATTAAAGTTCAAACTTGAAATCAACAACCAACTAAATAGGAAGAAGATAAGGTTAGCTACAAGATGATTCAAATAAAAAAGAGATATAGAGTTCAGAGAGATTTTTGCTTCTATTATTAAATAGTCTAAAATTAAAATTGCTATAACTTTAGCAACAACTAATAATTGGACTATACATCATATGGATGTTAAAAAAACCTTTATAAATAGTATTTTTAAGGAGAAAGTTTTTATGATTAAACCAAATAGTTTAATCTTATCCTAAAAAGAAGAATTAGTGTGCAAACTTAAAAAACCTATCTACAAGCTGAAAAAATCACCTAATGCTTGATATGAAAGGATAGATAGTGTGTTAAGAGATATGTATATATATATATATATATATATATATATGACAAGAAGTAATTTTGATGTAAGCATGTATTACATGTACAAGGATGGTGATATTATTATACTTATGTTATATTTTGATAATTTATTTTTTACTTGAAGTAACATCAAGCTTATTATTTGGTATAAGATTACCTTCAAATTATATTTGATATAACTAAATTCAGAATAATTCAACAATATTTAGAAGAGATTTTAACAAAATATCAAAATAGATTTTTATTTAGTTAATAAAATATGCAAAGAGTATCTTAAAGAATTTAGAATGTTAGAATGTAGATCTAGATACAAACCACTATCAAAACAATTAGTTCTAGTCAAGAATAAAATCTACCTTATGAGATGCAATACTTTTTTGTCAACTAGTTAGAAAAATCATGTTTCTATCTATTACAAGTTAAACATTGCTTACATATTCATTAAAGTGAGTAGCTTTATGTCCAAATTAAAAGAAATCCAATTAGAGGTAGCAAAATATATCCTATAATATATTAAACATGATATAGATTATAAAATTTATTATCATAAAAAAAGACCTTGCATTGTAATAGGATATATAAATACACATTGGTGCTCATGTTTAAAAACACAAAGTTCAGTAGAAGCATACATATTTACAATGGAAGAAAGATCCATTAGCTGACAAAGTAAGCGCTAGCTAACAATATTGAGATCCTTGATAAAATCCAAATATCAAGCTCTTAACAACTATGCACAAAAAATTATTTAGCTTCATCAATTACTTACTTATTGAATTAAAATGTTGAAATAGAAGTATTATTCCATTTTTTTTACAAAAATAAAGAAATTATTTTCAAATTGGATGATTCAACTACAAAAAATATTGAAATATATTTTAACAATCAAAGAGAAATTAAACTCAAACAAAATCTAGAATTTTATACTCAAATATAATACATTAAAATTTATTGATATTTTATATGTAAAAAGGTGCTTGAAGGTCAAATTAAACTATGTTATATCAATACTAATCAATAACCTAAAAATTTACTTACTAAATCATTGGATCAAATTAAATTTGAATTCTATCATCAAGTCATTGGCATATAAGGATTATCTTTATTAATTTTTTACAAATAAATATATTTATCTGAAACAACAACATATTTTTTTATCCATTCTTTATTTTTCTTAAATACTATTAATTTAAATAAATTATATATTTGTTAAATATTTTTTTAGCTATTATTTTATTATTTTATATAACAAAATCTTCTAACTATAAGTAGATTATCTTTTGACTTTTATCCTCAAATACTAGTATATATCTATATTAATACACATACATATATACTAATTAGAGTATTGATCAAAAAAAAAAAAAAAAAAAAAAACTTATATTTCTAAGTTTATCTAACAATAGGTTGTTTATTGCTAAGTATTATGGCAATTCATTGCCAACTCCATCACAACATTCTTGCCATACATATTCAAAAGCAAAAACTACATTCTATTGTTATTGATATTGTATTGATTGCACCTTGCCATTCTGGATTCTAGAACAAAGACAATTATTATGCTCCCATCCTAATTCTTGCACCACACTATACAATCTCTTTCCCCTCTCTCCTCTCAAACTCCTTACTATTAATTGCAAAAGATGGTCTGTCTACTTAAATAAATAAAAGTAAATAAAAATAGATATGAATATATTTGATAAACAACATTTTTTTAAAAAATCATTGGAGAAGCTTTTCAAATACAAATTAGATCTAACAGTGACTTTAAATGTATCATGTAGCTATGAAAACTTATCTTATAAGCTTTTTATATCTAAAGAGCTATTAAAGAAGCATCTTATAACTTAGACATTTGGCTTGTAAGCCTTGTGGTTCTAAAAACATTTCTACAAGATTTTTTTTCTTAATAAGTATATATAGAGGGAAGACTAAAATTATACTTAATCTTGTCAAAATCCTTATTGTATCTTCATCTTAATTATTTTTTTATTTTATTTGAATAATCTAAATAATTTTTATATCTATTTCTTATAATATCTAGATTTAAGTTTATTAATGGTTATTGTATTTATATATTATAAAAAATTATTATTAAAAAATATTTTTTTGTTGATAATAATAATATTAATATTATTAAATAAAGATTTTTATTTTTTAAATATTTAATCACTTTATAAAATTTTCATAATATAATATATAAGCCTTCACAACCAAATAAGAACCATTAAGAACCATTAATAAAGCTTTAATATGCAGCAATATTTTTTTAATAATATAACATACTATCCAACTTTGTACTCTAATTTTGATAGATGTATCTTATTAGATTGTAATATATTGAAACACCATATGAAATATATATTTCTATTATCTATTTCATCTTCTTTTAAAATTTTATTTTAATAAATATAAACTTATAAAGTAATAGAAATATTTAAAGAACTTTTGTAAGACAAAGCATAAACAATTACAATGTTTTTTTTTTTTTATATATAAATTTTGAAATCTATAATTATTATTTAAATAAAAATATATCTAAAAATTCATAATTAATTAAAGTATTTTTTATTATATATTGAAAGATAGTCTACACATTTATTAATCTAAAATACATGTCTTGTATCCAAATTAATTTTATTATTTATTATATATATATATATATATATATATATATATATATATATATATATATATATATAAACATTTTGTATCTAAAAGCCTATTTTAAAAGACCATGCTATTCTAAAAGACCATGGTTTAAACCCTTGTTAAGGTCTTCTTTTTTGGTGGAGAATGGTAAATTCTTAGAAATCTTGTTATATAAAAATAGTATAAATTAAAAAGAGATCATGACACAAACCAAAGCACTTTTTAAACATATGATTCTAAATATGATTTAATAGACATAAGCTACCATAATTACGAAATCATGAAAATTATAAAAAAAAAGTTGAAAAATTATTGATTAAACTATTAATTAATAAACACTTTTAGCAACATATTATACAACTTCTCACTTATTTTTAAAAAACCATTTTTCAACGTAAGCATAGCGCAGATTCTATAGGACAGCACTATTCATGCAATATGGAAGGAAAAGGAAAAAAAAAAAAAAAAAAAAAAAAAAACATTCCACCTTAACTTCTCCTCTCAAGACAGTTAAGATAATTCTCCCGAATAAAAACCCAACAAAAAAAAAAAAAAAAAAAACAAAAAAAAAAAAAATCTCAATTTCACACAACCAATCACACAAGGAAGTTGCAATCTTTCACAGTCTGAGCTACTAATAAATATCGATTTGTTGACACCCTAATTGTTTATCGATGCACTGACGCTTGTCGTGGCAACAGAAGCCTGATCCACCACCATGGATTCCTCTGGCAATCAAGAGAAGAGAGAGAGAAGGGGGTGAGTAAATGATGAGGGAGTGGAGATGGGGAGTATGTGAGGGTACAGAGAAAGATAGGCTGGGACCATCTCACGGTGTAAGTGTGTGTGTGTGTGTCAGTGCAATTACGAGGCTTGCTAGCATGGTTCAGGTCATCAGTCGTTGGCAAGCATAGGTACTCATTCAATGGCCGGGACATCGATCACGCAGTGCCGAGCACGGAGATTCTGTACAATGATTTGCCTACCCCACCTACTTCATCACGGTGCTCCATGTCAGCGCCGCGGAGCATTTGTAAGTAATGCTTGCTGCTGATGCTGCTGCTGCTTCTGTTGCACCAACTCGTTCATTGAACCTTTGGAAGTGTGGGTCCAGAGTTTCTTACTATTATTTTTCTTTCGTTTGTGTAGGTCCTGTTCGTTGCAGCGAATACTCCACCAATACTATAGTGGTTGGGTTGACTTCAAGTCTTCAACAATCACTCACTATCATAGCGCTGCAGTTTATTTTATTTTATTTTATTTTATATTTTTGTTAGTTGTTGATCGAGACGGTGAGCTTTGGTCTCTCGCTGGGTGGATTTTGAAAGCTGCGTTAGTGCAGCAATAACACCGTGAGAAATGCAGGAAGGTATTGATGGCCACGCGTACCCTGAAAAGTTGAATACATCCATGAGGAACAGTCCGATGGGTCTGCCTCTGTAAGCTTGGACAACAGGGAGATCTGGAGTCTGTTGTGCAGCTTTAGTGTCACTGTTCTCAGGACTGTTCTCAGTGTACATGTGAATTCATAGAGAGCAAGTGTGAGAACTGACCTTGGACGTACCCATTGAACAACTTCAGTGAAGGATTGTGCTGCCATTACTGCTTCATCCAGGGCCTCATTAAGTAGGCATGACTCTAGGGCGGCCACCTTCTAAGAGTAAAAGAAAACTTTTCAGTGTAACAAACCATGTTGTGCAGCAGATAACTTACTTCTCCTGCTAAGTCATCGATGCAATCAATCCGGTCTTTATCCTGGCTCGACCAAATATTCATTGTTTGTAGTACATATAAGCTTTTGAAACAATCCACGAAGGGGAATGTCATATATGGTTCCAAGTTTTCTGATATTTGTGTAACCAGTTGTATTAAGTGCGAGAGGCGTTGTCTCAGGTTCCTGTGTTTCTGCGAGCTTAGGTATCGAAGATTTTTGCAAGCATGGCGACCTCAATGGCGAAGGTAGAAGAGGCCAAGACGGGATTGAAGCTGGAGGATCCCATCCAAGTTGCGACAGGGCCTGAATCACTCGACAAGGCCGTGGAGCTGATCACCCTTTTCGACCTGCCGAATGGTTTGCTACCGCTCAAGGATGTGGTGGAGTGTGGTTGGAACCAGGACACAGGCTTTGTATGGATCACGCAGAAGAAGGCCATTGTGCACAAGTTCAAGAGCATCGACAAGCAGGTTAGCTACAGTGACAAGATCACGGCGTATTTGGAGAAAGGGCGGCTGAAGAAACTGACCGGAGTCAAGGCAAAGGAGCTTCTGTGGGTGTCCATTGTGGACATCTCCTTGGAGCAAAACAAAGACAACATCTACTTCAAGAGCTTCAGCGGCCTGGGGAAGACCTTCCCTACCATAGCCTTCCGAAGAGATGCCGAGCAGTGATACCCCACCTCAGTGATTGCAAGAATAATTCTTGGACCCGCAATGTTAACCAATCCCAACCCCATTTTTTTTGCATGAAGATTATGTTGCAGGAGTTCGGTTCGGCAGGCAACGACTACTTGCTCTAGAAGGATAAAAATTATTAGGTGTAGTGTTCACAAGGGCTGTGAGATGTACGGCTACCTTGAGTCCCTAACCTGGCCTGGGTTATGAGGACATTGTTTCTGGACATTCTGCTTATTGTTAATTCACGACCAGATTTTCTTCTTCAGTTTGTTTCTGAAATGGTTGCCTGGTTGTTTTCCTTCCTTGCTTCATTTTCCTCCGCATGGATTGAAGTGAGGATAAGTTGTGTAATTAATTCCATTTTAGAATCTGTTAGCTACGTCTTGGTTAATCCGTGCACTAGTTGGGCCCTTGCGCCTTGTTCTCAATGCCTTTGCTCAATTTGAATGCTTCCGTATCAACTCTTCTCAGGTATTCATGTCCCAGGCTATAAGCCAAAGGAAGCTGCATCTAACAAAGTTTCTATGTCGGTTTCTATTGGGGTGGCATTCATGTTGTGTTGGCCATTTGGTGATTCCTCCGAGACTGAAACTTGGAGAATAGGACAAATTAGTGCTGGAACAATATCGCAGGGATCTCTTTTTGACATTATTAGAAAAGATCTTTGGTTGGTTGGTTATATATATATATATATATATATATGTGTGTGTGTGTATGTGTGTGGATAAATATAATGAAAAAGTTCAGATTCTACAAATAAAAGTACAATGTATTGTGTCAGGTGAATTCTACAAATATATTCACTGAAACATGCATGCTGGAAATGTCAATTTAAAGAATGAAATTGTCAATTAAAGAGTGACCTACCTATGTTGAAGAATATGGTAATCATAATAAATTGTGATATTTCACTTGACATATTTGCTCAAGGTGTCTTGAGAAATCTCAAAATAGCACTTGATAATTATTCAAATCACCTACCTTGCAAGGTGGGTCATTTTGAAATCAAAATATCAAAAGAGGAGAAGGTCAAATATCAAAAACCATGTCGCTTGCTTTAATTCTCTTCCCTCTTTGACTCCATATCAAGTGAATAATAAAGTTTCAATTAGGGAGTAATATCAAAGGATAATAAAGTTTTAACGGTGATAATAAGGGGGTTCAAACATGGCACTTTTGCAAAACCAAATAGTTGGGATTTAATACTTGATATTTCAAGTATCACTCAAAATACCAAATCCAAAATATCACAATTTAAACTTTATTATCTTTTGATATTATTCTTTAATTCAAACTTTATTACTTCTTGGTATGGAGTCAAAGAAGGAAGAAAGTTAAGGCAAGTGACACAATTTTTGATATTTCAACTTCAAAATCACCCACCTTAAGAGATAGATGATTTGATGAAGTATTAAGTGATATTTTGAAATATCACAAGATACTTTGTGATCCCATCACAAGTAAAATATCACCCAAAAAGGCCATGTTTAAACTCTCTTTTCTTCCCCCCCTATTTTAGATTTGATATTTTGAGTGATCATATAAATATCAAGTACTAAAACTTAGTTAGTTGGTTTTGCAAAAGTGCCATGTTTGAAAACCCCTAATGAATGTGAGTGGTTTTCATTGATTTTGGATCTAATAATAGAGATATAAATCTAGATTTTATTTATTCATTTATTTTTTCATGATAGTTGGAAAGGGTGGATAAATTTAGTAAAAACTTGGATCTATTTAATAGTCGACTATAATTTTTTTATACTATTCTTTGAAATAATTTTAAATTTAAATTAATTATGTTGTAAGAAATCACACATTTTTATAAACTAACATTTCAAATAAACATTTTTTTTTTTAGAAAAAGACATAATTAGGATAGGTACCACTTAATATAATCTTCTAAAAAAATATCTAAAGTACTCTTCTTATAAAGAACACTACTTTCTTATTATTATTGAATTCATATTAATAATTTTAATTTTAATTCAAATCATCTTAGAAACCATAATAGCTGAAAAGATTAGATTTTTTAACATTATGGATGTACAAAAAATAATTTACAATGTTTTTTTAAAGTATTCTAAAATTTCTTAGAATTCCATGGATTTTATAAAAGTTACAAATTATTAAAATTTTTTGGAGCTTTGTAGATTCTTTCTTAATATCTTATAATTTTCCATTGTTTTGAAGTGTCTAAGAAGTTTTTATAATCTTTTAAAAGTTTCTATATTTAACCAAGATATTCTTGGTATTTTAGAATATTTTATAGTTTTTAGAATCTCTTGTAGAAGAGTCTATGGAACCTAGATGTTGTAGTATAAATAATTAAAAATAATAAAAAACTATTCTTACTACAACAAATTTTATTGCAATTCAATTATATTCTTGTTCTTGATCTAGTATTTTATTTTATTTTATTTGGTTTGGTTTGGTTTTGTTATTTATTTAGTTTTTTTTTGTCTTAGATAGATTAGTAATATTATTATGTTTCAATCAAAGCTTTGTATTTTTTAACTATATTTTTTAGAAAATAATTTTACTATTCTTCTTTACAAAATATACTATTGAATCTTGAAGATTAAAAATTATCCACCTTTTAATTCATATCATGTATTATATACAGAATATAGGTTTTTTTTGTGTGTGTGGCAATTTTTTAAAAAATAAATTAAAGATTATTTTGTCTTGAAAGAATAAATTATAAAACTATATCAAAAGAAAGTAAATAATTCATTTTTGAGGCTATCAAGTTATATTAGAAGACATAGATTAGCATCCTTTAAATTAAGGTTCAAAACCAAGTCTTATATTTATATCAAGTTTCTTATTGGTCTACTAAAATAGACATATTTGAATATATTTTTGTGCCTTTGAATAATTTACAAGTAACAATAGAAGAATTTTGCAATGTCTACCTTTAAAATGTTTAATTAAATTTTTTTAAAGATATTTTAAATAATTTGCAAAAATAAATGAAGACACCAAATAGTAGAATAAAACAAAAAATTATTTGATTGAAGCTTCATTTTTATAGATTTATCAAATATTAAAAAATAAAATAATAATTAACAAGCCCAAGACTAGTATGTTAGATACGTTAATGGTAAAATTAAACATAGATGAGGAATTAAATTTTATGCAATTTAAAAAAAAATAGTCAAAAACAAAACTTCATAATTACTAGTTAATTTTTTTTAAAAGATAAATAAAAAATATATATTTTAAATAATTGAAATATAAAGCACTTTAATAAGAAACTAAAAGAAATATAATATTTGTAGTTTTTGTTGTGCCATTAAGTACTTAGACATAAAATTTTAATAAAATATTACTTATATAAGATGACAAATTTAAAGGTATATTTGAATAATATGTCAATACACTAATAAAATATCAAACATTTAATTTTGCAATTCAATTACATTTAGAACTAGTATAATCATTTAAAAAGAAATCAATAACTTATTACAAATAAAACAGATAGCAACATAAAAATACATTGTTAAAAATTTAAGAAAAATTCCATTCAACATTTAAAGTTATTAGTAAGTGTTTATTTTTTTTGTCAAGAAAAAAGATAAGAAACTATAAAATTTTGATTATTGGACACTAATAGATATAAATATATAAATATATATATATATATATATATATATATATATATATATATCATAACAATATATATCATAACAATTGATTTGAAGACCATGGAAACAACTAGAAAAAAAAGGTTCAAACAAGAATCAACTTAAGAGGTGCTTATAATCTTATTAAAATACAAATAAAAAATACCCAAAAAAAAAATATAGAAAAAAATACTAAAATTACTTTAAATATAATTTTATGTCATTTTAACTTACTAGTGTGTATAAAAAAAATTTAAAAACTAAAAAATCATATTTTTAAATATTTTTTAAATATTTTTTTATAGAATTATTCAAATAAAATTTCGATATATTTCAAGAACAAAAAAAAAAAAAAAAAAAAAATCTTGACTGCCATGTAGATGTGAATTTTGAAAAAATTAAAAAAAAATTACTACACAAAAATCCAAAAATAATTGTTTTAACTAAAATTTAGTTGAAATCTATAAGCTATATTATATCTACTAAAAAAAAATTATATTTTTTAATAAAATTTTGATCATTACATAGTAGAGAATACCTTCTTTAAACACAGGCACACAATTTGTTTTGGATTTTGCAAAATTTAAAAGAAAGTCTCATCAAGGATTGTTCTAAAATTGTAACTTATTTAATAAGATTGACAAGAATCTTATTATTTCGGCTTAATCTTAATATCTTGGTTTGATTTTGTAACAGCATATATATTTTTTAAACATCTAATAAATATCAAATGTTCTTTCTTGTACATTGTATTTGACTCCTAAAGAAAGAAATGTGATATCCAATAAACAATAATTTCTTTGAATACCAACACAATTGAACTTGAATTTAGTATAAACAGCAAATTTTTCTTACATAATAATAAAATGAAATATTTAAAACACTAGTTTTTTTTGGAAATATGAAAAAATATAATAAAATAAATTGTTATATATAGATGATGATTTTAAAGTCAATGATATAATACCTTATTTCAAAAAATCATTGTACATACTTCTATGACCTTCAAATACTTAAATAACAAAATACTTTCTAATTTTCTTACAATGAGTCATTTTGGATTTAACAATAAATAAATAAATACATTTACATATTTTTATTATTTATTTATTTTATATTATGCTTGTATTTATTTGAAAAAACCATAGTCGTTTTATAATATGAAAGTTTTCGAAGGCATCCTTGAGATTGCCGCCGTCGGCAGATCGCGATGCCTCGTTTCCGAGCGCAAATTCGTCGCCGCGAGCTGGCTCGACGACGACATCGAATGGGTCCGATCGAGGGAATTCGCGTGAGATTCGGATTCAAACGATAGCTATGCCGAATTGGAGAATTCAACCGAGTTAGCTGCTGCAGCTGGATCTCGACTGATTGCGCCTCTGCAGTTGTTCTTTCAGCTTCCAACTCTTTAGCGTGATCGCAACCAACATGTGGATTCACTGATTGCTATGAAGATGTGTGGGGGGGGGGGGGGGGTGGGGGGGGGTTATTTTTATTCTTATCACGAGGGATGTGCGACTCTACGCGAACCGATCAGCAGCAATGAAGAGACGAAGGCGAGATGATTGTACTATTAACCTGGCAATTCAAGGAGCACTCATCAGATCATTGCCTCTTGTACCATAGGTTTGGTGATGGG